TTGAGATATTCTTTTCCATCCTTTCACCTTAAGGTAGTGCCTGTCCCTGAAGGTGAGATGGGTTTCTTGCAGACAGCAACAAGAAGTATTTTGTTTCTTAATCCATTCACTTAGCCTGTGTCTTTTGACTGGGGAGTTTAGTCCATTGATATTTAAGGTTATTATTTAAGACATGTATTGGTTGCTGTCATTTTGATTGGTGTTTGTGAACTCTGATTTTGTGTTTCCTCGATTATACCTTTGTTTATTTTCTTTCATTGTCCCTGGGGTGTAGTTGTTTCTTCTGCTTTCTTTATTGGTTCAAGTATTCTTTGAAGGCCTGATGTTGTGGGCATGTATTCTTTCAGGCTATTCATGTTATGGAAGATTTTTCTTTCCCCCTCAACTATAATAGACATTTTTGCTGGGTATAGTATTCTGGGCTGGCATCTATTAAATACCTTGGTCTAGGCTCTTCTGGCTTTCATAGTTTGCATTCATAAGTCAGCTGTAATTCTGATGGGCTTTCCTTTGTACGTGACTTGTTTTTCTTTTGCTGCTTTCAGTATTCTCTCTTTGTTCTGTACATTTAATCTTGTTTTTCTATGGTATGTTGTGGGGAGTTTCTTTTCTGATCCTGTCTATTTGGTATTCTGTGTGCTTCCGGTATTTGTTTGGGGATGTCTTTCCTTAATTTCAGGAAATCCTCTTCTGTGATCCTGTTTATGAGCTAGTCAACACCATTAACTTGAAATTCTTTTCCTTCCTTTCTTCCTATGATCTGTGGATTTGGTCTTTTCATGGTGTCCCACATCTCTTGCATATTCCATTCCTCTGTTAAAAAAAAATTTCCATAATCTTTGCTTGAATGGTCCAGTTCTTCAACTTTATCCTCCAGTGTTGATATTCTGTTTTCCATTTCATTCATTCTAGAGGTGAGGCTTTCCCTTGTTTTTTCAAGTTGGCTTAATGAGTATTGTACTTCCTTCTTTATTTCTGCCCAAGTGTTTTTCAATGTTTCCATCTCTTTTTTTG